ATGATTAATCTGAAATTCCGAACCGTCAAAGCACGCCATAGAAAAACAGCTGTTAAAAAATAGTTCATAAAAACGAGATTTTTGTGCTCAGTGAATAGGACACACCCTGAAGTTGCGATAAATCCGCAACTCGTCAAGATTCCAAGCCCTGTAGACCAGGTGGTCGTTGTTTCTAGACAATGAAACCTACGGCAAATACTGTGGTAACAACTCACGACACTAAGGCTGGGATTGCTTCGAGGAAAAAAGACGTGTGAAAGGGAGGGCAAAATCCTAGCGTATATTTATTACATAATTTAAAACGTCTCCGAGAGAGAGAGAGACAGAGAGAGAGGGGGGGGAGAGAGAGAGAGAGAGAGAGAGAGAGAGAGAGAGAGAGAGAGAGACAGACAGACAGACAGACAGACAGACAGACAGACAGACAGACAGACAGACAGACAGGGATAAACGTTTCAATAAATACATTGTATACCATTTAGGAGGCAGGCATCGACTCTAACTGCCAGGGCCAAACTGGGCTGAGGATACATCACCTTATCAGAATTACCGAAATACTTTATAAAAGTTCCCCCTACATGAAACTCAAACTCAGGTCTTGAGTGCGACGGCGAGGCTCCTAACCGCTACAGCACAGACGCTGGGGGAGGGTGGGGAGAGTGAGAGAGAGAGAGAGAGAGAGAGAGAGAGAGAGAGAGAGAGAGAGAGAGAGAGAGAGAGAGAGAGAGAGAGAGAGAGAAGAGAGGGCGTTGAGGACCGTGGATGGTGGTCCACAGCCCTGTATGGCGAAATGGCATGATGACCTTAGCACCGCGATCTAAACCGCAGCACAGTCCGTTATCATAAACAGGCCACATGACCTTGACGGTTGCGTCTGATGACATCTGTATTAAATCATAACCATGCATAATTGGCGGGGAGTTCCCTCTATCACAACAAAGACATTAAACTATTGTGTTTTTGTTCGGTTCATTTACTTTTATTTTTATTTTATTTTATTTTTTTGTTTGTTTGTTGGGGGGGGGGGGGGCTGTCTTAGTTCATCTTTACTTTTCCTTTTGGGGTGTGGGAGATTTTTCTTGACCAGTCTCACTGAGAAACTTGTTTATTACCATGTCACTATTTGTAACAGCACAGGCCAAGGTCAATCAGTTTTCGCCCTTTGCTCCAAAGAGCCCCCCCAGTAAACAGACGCACCACGTCACCGGAGACCACGTCATGCATACATTTTTATTATGATTCAAACATTAGCACACGTCTGCTGTACATAATTTATTTTTATAGATGATGTGCCATTCTTGCTTCTTTTTAAACAACAAACAGATGTTTTATTGTTGGAAACTACAAATAAATAAGACGCGTGGAGGGAGAAAAAATGCAATGTTGTTTGTCGAGAAGTTTATAATAAATTGGCACAATGCTGGTAAAATGTTGACATGTAACAGGGAAGGACAATACGAGCACGTGCCATAAATAACGACAAACGCCAAGAAGATGAACAGGATAATATATCAAGATTGCAAATCCGACGACAAGTTTGAAAATTAATTCTAAACGCGCTTTATAGTGTGCAACTGTTGCGTGCCAGTCGACACAATGGAAACCATTTAAGGGACGGACTGCTCCAACTCTCTCTGACAGGATCAACCCAGACCATGTGCGGCCACACCCCAGCAGAAACACCGAGAGATGATTGATGTTTTCCCAAAGTGGGAATCGAACTCGCGTCCGTTAGGTACAGGAAGAGGAGCATTACCATTACACCCACGACAGACACGACGTACAAAGAAACTAAACTGAACCTTTGAAAAGTACATGTAACCGAGTTCTAAGTTTTTTACATTGCTTTCACAGTGCTATTGGTATTTCATAGATGAGACTCCATTTTTGTTCACGTGGTTGTCAATTGTTGAAAAATAAAAATAAGCACGACAAGGTTACTCGATGCTAGGAATAGATAAGGACAACCTACACTGAACACCAATAGAGCGAAGAGGCAACACTTTCCAGGTCGTGGAAGGGGGACGATAGAAATCATACAAAGTTATGGGGTTGACAGATGATGAAAATAGAGCGGCCACACAATTCCATCTTTTAAATATTCTTACAACCCAAGCGTTCCAACAAATTGTAACAATGGTGTATGCACGTACTTTTGTTTTGCATACAACAGATGCACTGCGACAACATTGCCCAGGAACGTGCCATGCAAAAAAACCCCAAAAAACACCTGCCATTCATACAAAATCCCTGAACAAAACGCAGTAAAACAGCAGTACAATGTCAAATCAATTCTAAGCTTTGTCACAAATGATAAAACACGCACAGAAGACACAATGAATACATTAAAACACATCGTAATACGTGACACACATTACAAACATGTGATGTGGGATAAACAACGATAACCTGGAACATAACAGTTTGTACATGAACAACACACGTCTCGATAGCAGATTTATGAAAACGATCCCACGACGATACAAGAATGGTTCAACTATCTAGCATGTCGAGTCTGCGGGAAATACGTAAGAGTGGGTACACAATAAAACAAATTTAATCTGAAAAGGACTTAATTAAACATCAATACTATGGTGCCCCAAGAAATCTCTTGTCTCCAAAAGCAATGAACCAACGAATGGCAGCCTGGGCCAACGTTACCAGTGGATACTTTCAAATATTATTTTGTTTAATTAAAGGCATAAAAGGCAATTGCAATGGGAGTTACGCATACAGTGTTGTCTTGAAAACTATTTTCCCCCAAGTCGAATTCGATGAAACCCTGAAAAACAATACATGTTACACATCGGCCAGTTGATCCATCCGCGTTGCTCGAGACTGGCAGAATCGTGTGTAGTTTTCACGCTACCATTCTAAACTTCTTACAAAAATCGGGGAGAGCCGCAAAAGTAAACATCCCCTCCATCTCCCTCCCACAATAGAAACAAGAATGCACAAAATAACCACAACACAATATCAAATTGACATATGTGGCAATGGAGACATGGAACAGTGCGTTAGCGATTTTGCAATAAATACTGGCAGCATATCATAAACTCAGAAGTCGCCAATAGACCAAAAACATTTGCAAAACTTTTGGAAAATTCATGTTATCAGAAATTAGACGTAAACACTTTTCAACAACGGACACGCTTTTTTAAAAGTCTGAGCCAGCTTCCATGACTTTCGGTAGAAAATCAATTCGTACACTATGCTCAAAAGAATTCCAGTACACAATACTTGACTCCACAATTGCGTATTGTCTGCAGAGAAATACAGGCTCATTCAGTTTAGGCACTGACCGTGTATGTGTTGACGATCACAAAAACAGTGGAACAAGGAAAAGAAATGGAACTACGTCCACATGAATTAAATAAATGTTAAAACAATGCGTAAAGGCAAGGCTCGCTCACAAAAATCGCGTTCATTCTGAGAAGGCTTGTTATCAGTGCAATGAATGTGTTATACGGTTTACAAAACCATCTTTTCAAAAAAAGCCAATCAATACGCGGCATGGCAAACATCACAAGATGCTATTGAACAGACATTTTAAGTATAGAGCATGGTTATAGTTCAGTCTCAATAGTGGGCGACAGGAGAGGTAAAACCTAGATCTAGTAAGAGCGCCACTAGTAATATATAGTCTTTATATAGGCCACGTTCAGCCCATATTAATCAATGGTAAGAATTTAGTACCAGGCGACAAAAATAAAAACAAAGTCAAAGAAAGTTTTACAGCTCACTGCCACACAAAAGTGAACTATCCATAAACTACAATACCATACTATTAATCATCATACTATATGTAATTGATTAATGGCGCTATCGACGCAGTTTAGTCTTGCCAGCACCATCTTACTGACAGTCAGAATTCGTCGACTACATAACGGTAAGCCCCGCTGCAACCATCGGCACAATAAGCTGCTCCCTAAACTTTAACACTAGTGGGCAACACCGGGGTTTTTATGGTACATTTTGTCATTAAGTAAGGATAATACTACCTATAAACAGGCACTAGTTCTCTAATCGAAAGCAATACGTAATTTACTTAAAGTGCCTTTCTTCGTGAAGTTTAAACCTTACTTAATTTGGAACTCAACAATTCCCCTCTCCCACCCTCCTTTTTCAGTACAGGGTAAGACTCTTACACCATTTTCTCAATATGGGCATGTTGACTCCCATAAATGAAGTTCCATGTTTCAAAGTTTTGTCACCGATGACTAAACCTTGAGTGATATGTCCTGTGATGCTGCATCAAACCCAAAAATAGACATACAATGCTTTAAGTGTCAACAGTATTTCACAACCCCACACTCTTCTAAAAACATACCCTGACACCTCATCTCCATTAAAGACCTATTTATTAACAGAGGTTATTAAACTGTCCACAAATACCATTGTGACACATAACCACAATAAAACCGAGATTTGGCGGACAGCAGAAGAGCCAGAAAATAAACATAACACGTTACGTGACGTCAGGTCGAACAAAATAATTTATATTCGGTCAATAAAAAGGCCTTACAACCTTCGCTACTATGCGCGACTGCTTGATGCTTTTATATGGTAGTTTATTATAAGGATAGAGGGTCCAGTAGGGTTTTCTTATCACCATGACAGGCCACGATTGCCAAAAGCCATACGGGAGAAGCACCGAACCAGAGACACATCCTTTAACAAGAACAGAATCTGGGTGCTTTTGGAAGTAGGAAGGGACAACCCTCCCAAACTACACAAGGGCATGCAGGAAGGACATTGAAAAACGGGGCAGCATGCAAATCATCCACCACGCAAAGCACTGCTACACCCACAAATAGTACAGAATGACCAACACAACCACACTCACACTCATGCGCATACAAGTATACACACCAAATCACTAGCGCACGCATCCACACACACATACATACACACAAACACGCTCACAAGCACGCGAGTGAACAGTCAGTGTGCCGCAAGAAACGGCGACCATGCTTTCCAGACGAGAAGTACGACCGATTTACCACACGTTTAAGCCTGACTTGTGCTTGGGCGGGTATCTGTCGCGGTAGAGATAGACAATTCAATTGTAGACGTCGTGCATCAAAAAAAGTTTATGCAAGCTTTTCCCAAAAATTTCTATGACTAAAATCTATCAATATACTGCCAAAGAGTGAGTGGATTACATTGTTATACAATTTTTCATGACTTCATACCAAAATTGCGTGGACGAGCATTCATGTCTAAGCTTGTGAGGTAGATACCGTAAAGAGATTATTAAGTCAATGCCGATTTCCCCTTGGTCTTATCCTCTTGTCCGCTATGAAAATACACGGGCTTGCCAGGTTGACAAACAAACCCGAATATTTCCTACAGTTCTTGCTTTGTCAAAAATCCCTTAAATGATCATATAAACGCTGCGTCAGGGAGGGGTAGTTACTGGTTATTTTTTTTAAACGTATGGAAGGTTTCTTGTCTCAACGCGGTGGCATTCCACATCAGATTTCCACACAGATAACTAATGAAATTGCGTAAATGCACCTACCATTACCATCCAGGAATCGCCACTAATACCTATTGGGGTTAAAACAACTATTTGTGAGATAAAGAAATGATGCTCTAGCTAAAACCTAAGACGAAACCGACAGCAACCAGCTATTGCTAGAGCTAAACATTAAGCAAATTGGTGAACAAAAACTGGACACATGAATCAATAGCTCGAGTAAACGTAAATAGAAAAAGAACACGCTATCAAATCATTCCTTAACGCTACATTATTTCAAAACAAAATTGGGAAATGCATAAAACCATTTCCCCAAATTCTTAAGTTGACAGATTTTAAAAAAATTATCTTTACACGCCTCATAAAAGAATACTATTTTTAAAGCACATTATTTCGTAATGTAGAAAAATACTTTCATGCTAACATCCATTAGATCTAACTGAGTATTAATGAGAAACCGACTCAAAACTACTTCTAACTTTGTTCAGTATTGCAGACTTCAGCTGGTCTTTTTACGGCTCATTTAATTCAACAAGTCCACTATCAATACTCTGGTGACCACGTAAAACAATTCGTGCTTTGCAATGAATTCAAACACGTTCTGACTAATTTTGCAAAGTACCATTCCAATCAAAACACTGACACTGGACAACCCTTTTAAGCGTTTTTGAACTCTATATTAAAAAAACCCCCAGATGCAGCATCACTGACAAAACCACTAGAACACATGGACGCTGTGTTACTTCTACGTTTGCTGACAAAAACTGAAAAAGGGTATAAAGTGGGAACCAAATTGTCGTTAACAATAAAGAAAAAATCATTGAATTCACTCAACTCGAAATAAAAATTAAACTGCAGCCTTATTAAGAAAGGGGAGAGAGAGAGAGAGAGGGGGGGGGGGAGAAGGGTGGGGGCGAGAAACGCAAAGAAGCGAACAGGTAAGCAGGCAGACAGGCAGACTGAAAGACACACGGCAGCTTTGACAGGCAGATAGATTGACAAAAAGCATTCACACCCGACAGGAGAAATAAATACATCCAAGGCAGTCGATAGCATGTCCAAAAGTGAGAAGAAATGTGCCAAACTGGAGAAGCAACTGGTCCTCAAACAAGACGGAAAAATCAGGCGGAACAGAAACAGGAGAACACATGGAAAAAAGAAACATACAATGAAAATATTATGTTTGAGAAGCCGTTCGCCCAGGACAGAGGAAACAAAGAAAACACACACACACAAAGAATACAAAGGTGTGAGATAGACCCTTCGACGATGCCTACATTGATTAGTATATTATACAATACAGAAACAAACAAAAACCGTTGCACAAATGCTGAAATTCCCTAAACTGCCTCGGTGATCGAGCGGTCAATCCACACGAGAGGCTTTGTCGTGAACATCAGGAATCCACAACCCAAAATACTTTCTCACTCACTGTGCAAAATAAACAGGCGCGTTGCTCATTTCAGATATGTGATAAATCATCCCTGGTGAGGTAATATTTTCACGACATTTCATCAGAAGCTGAAGTAAAGACTAAAGTCACTACATGAGCAATATGAAGCTCCTGGTGATAAGCAAACAAACTGTTTACAAATATATATGCAATTTAATACAAAACAACTATAGCTCAAAAACCATACCCACAGAAAAATGGGCAAAAATTTGAGAGCATGAATGAACAACAACTTTGACGGCAACGTTCCCAGACCGATCATACTACGTCGTCCCTTACACATACGTCACCAAACATCCGATGGGCCCACAGTCGGGAGGCTCCATCTGGAAACAAAACCTACTACATTGCATACAGAATTTGACACTGCGCACACGACAGACACACTGGGCATAACATCGTCATCAAGGATGGGCACCGCTCTGTTTATTTTTTAAAGCCCTGTGTTCTAAAGCCAGCTGAAAAAATCCTGGTCGCTTGCATACAAAAACATTTATTTTTTTTTCATTGAAGAACATCAAACTGTACTTTTTTTTCCGATACTAATTTTCTTTTATCGAACTCGCGCGTTCATATAACGACCTTATGCAGTCGCGAGCGCAGTTAACCTCTCACCAAACTAATAACAAAGTCAGCTCTTGTGAGAATGCCCAGCCCTGAGTTGCACACGTCATGGGGATAAACCGTCACAAAAACAAGAGTCACACAAACAGGAGAGTCAATCAAAAGTCATGACGAAACAGACATGAGGACCACGTGACTGGCCAGTACTCACTCAGCGGGCAGGTCCGGGGCCTCGTCCTCCTGGCCTGGCACGTCCACGTGGATGAAGGCGCCACGCCGGTTGATCTCCTCCATGGCCGGGCTCGACAGAAAGTTGGTCCACATGGAATCTGCACCCACACAAACACACACACACAGGTAGGCATATTATGGTAATGTGTCGTTACAGAAAGAGATTTTTTTTAAATCTTCGTAAACGTTTTACGGCACTTGCGAATCAATCAAGTCATATAGATCTAGGTAGGTGCCGAAGATTAGGTGTTACAAGGGAGTGGAGTAACACTCGCTAAAAGAAGGAGGAGAGATCAGGAGGATAGATGTTTGATAGAAAAGAAGGAGCAAATCACACCACAGCACCCGCCAACTACCCATACAGTAAGAAAGGCAAAAAATAAGGACAAAAGAATGTGTGAACGGAGAGAAGGAACATATACTATATTACTATATTACCACACCACAGCAACCATCAACCACCCAAATATCATAGTAATGTTTTTGTGAGAAATCCTTTCCAGCACTTGCGACAAAATTAGGTCACACAAGTGCCAAAGATTTGAGGTGTTACTATAGAATCCCATAAAAGGGAAAGGAGAAGGAGAGAAAAGGTCGATAGATGTTTGATAGGAATGCAAAGAAGGAACATGCCACACCAAAACACCCCCCCCCCCCCAAAATCACCCACATAATACTGTAGTAAATTCACATCACCATTTCGTACTACAAGCTAGAACAGAAGCATAACAGACACAGTCAATAATGGATAGGCCGAATCAGTGCTAGGAGAAAGAAGATGGACAAATAAAACAGCCTTCTGGAAAGAATGTAGGGCTACCAGCTATGACATCCCAACCACCTTCCCTAATTCATGACCTTATAGTCCTGTCAAAAATTCGTGGCGCAACTTACCCTAAAATATCTCTTTAACGGGGGAGTCAATGTCACCCATATTTTGAACATTGTATCACAATTTGTCTCAACGCAATCATATTTTTCAACAACAAAATTTTGTTTAACACCATTAATTTATTGAAAAAAAAAAAACTTGACGTCATAATTACCACTATTTTGCACTAACGGCAGGTTCGAAAACATAAGTTCAATAGCCATAGTGTCATGATTAGAGAAAGTACAGACTTGCATTTAAAAGTGCTATTTTCTCACCTTATGGGAAGTAAACCTTTTAAAATATTGAAACTATCCATCCTCTGGGGTTATTTATTAGTACTTATTAAGTAATCATTATAGAAAGGAGCGAACAGGTGTTTACAAATATTTTTATCTGTTGAGGAAAATTGATCAAGGCCTTTGAGCAAAAGTTGGAGGGCTCTATTCGATAGTTGAGGAGATATTTGATAATAAATTACGCTGTGGGTTTTTTACCGCACTATATTATTAGAGTGTCCTTATAGGTTATACATGTATGTCCCAAACTAGAAACACCTTTACACAGTAACATGAGTGGAAGGGTAGAAACGGGAGGGGCAAAGGGATTCGGAATCGACAGAAGACAGATCGAGGTCCACACAACAGCACAAACATAGTCATAACATAAGACCGACCATTGTTCAAAGAAGCGGATGGGGAGTTAGTTAGCTCACATGAACTCCACACAAAAGGACAGGCAGATGAGTAGATGAATAAATGACTAGAAGAAAGGATTGACTAAAATATGAACATAAAACCACATTAATTCTAAGAATTTAAGTAAAGAGTGAGAAGACATTAAAAGAACTTACGATTGCATCCTAGATCGTGTACGGTCAGAATGATAAACTGGCAATGCTTCAGGTCACCCTGTAACAGATAAAAAAAATCAACAATTGTTTATTTGTTTTAGTAAAAAGTTTTTAGTGCACTTGCAACACTGTAAGGCCATTTATAATAAGGGCCGAAGATTAGAGGTGTTACAAAAGAGTAACAGACAAGAAACAAAAGGAGGAGAGATCAGGAAGATAGATGTTCGATAGGAAAGAAGGAGTTAACAACACAAAAGAAACCACCAACCAACCACAAAGAAAGATTGAGAGAAGTACAAATCAAGTAAATCCGTTTACGATGTTGGCCTAGGTTAGAAAAGAAATTCACTTTGGACACTTTTGAAAAAGATATCATAATGTAGTACATAATACCAAAACAAGGAAGTGATGCGACACGTGTAACACGGGCCTAGACGAAAGATACAAAACTCAAACCTGCCACCTACATAAAACAATTTCCTGTACAATCGGCCACTTCCCAATATCCCCCTTGCGTTTT